AGCATATTCACATCATGGTCGCGTAATGACTAATCGTAAAAATAGTTCAATATTTACACAAAACCGTTTCGTTTCAGGATTCCACCATTATTTATAACATCTCAAAACGAGACAACAATTTACTGAAGCTCACTAGGTTTATGCTCAACACTGACCTTACTCGAACTGTCAGTTAATTAGAATTTGAAACATTTGATATCGTTTGTCAGTTCCACACCACAAGATATGCAACAGCCAAAGCCTGCTCCCGCTCATCTGACTATTCACCCTGAACAACTTATTAAACACATGGCACCCAACAAATTTGTTGTAATTTTGGTTGATGATATCCAGAACCAGTTGATATTGCCTTACGATGGACCATTCCCTTAGCACTTACCATAAATCTCCAAAAGTGAATGTTTATCGACAATGAGCAAGAGAATATCGTCTTTGAATGCACATAACTATGTCCTTTCTTCCGATGCACCTGCAATTATGAACGAGATAATTGATCAATATATGAAGCAAGATACCACACCAAATTCTGCTGTGCCATTGGAACAGAAATAACTTGCCAGTCGAAAAGCTCAATTCTTTGACAATAATGTCAAACGACAACAGAAATCCACAAAATTTGTAACGAAATAACAATCCAGAGATGAACTTATTCCTAATTCTATCGCCTTAACGTCCACTTAATCAGCCATGACATTAATAAAAAATGTGAACGAGCGGAATTTGACTAAACATACAAGATGTGTTGCTAGGTTTGAAGCTATTACGAGTTCAATTAGTATGCGAACGGAACAAAGACTTTTGACTGTAGACCAATAAGCTAGCTCTTTGATGCGTCCCAGCCCCGTTAACTAGAGGAAGAAGTTCAAGCTTGGAACGGGAAAGCATACTCCGTAAGCCAGAAGCACGAATGATTAATAACAGGCACAAATCAAACGTATATATGCAGCATAAAACTGTCCTTATGAGGCGTAGCAAAAATAGCATGCTAAAATTACACGACGGGTCAATAGCATTAAAGATTCTCCCAAGTGGGAAATACGACATGAAGGTGAAAAGTGCGCTAAAGGCGCGAAAACAAGCAAACTTAAACATCCAGAATAAGATTATAAAATTAAGGCATTTATCAAGTGAGTTCTGGGGATCTAACATCCCCAACATGTGTCGTTAAAACAACTCTACCCACGGTACTGTCAACATGTCTTCAAATACAAACTGTATAATGTAGGACACTTTATAACACTTTGTAAATTTTATCGACTGAATTCCGCAAATTATTCCGTTTTGCAGCATTTTACACTTGAAGCATTATTCCAAACACCAGGTGATATATTTTTGTTTTTTTAAAGAACCTAAAGCACATTAAAAAAATATACATACATTTAAAATTACGTTGTTTTCTGGACCTTATCAACAAATTATATATAGCTGTTGACTTTCACTACAGCACTTAGGACCACAGATCAAGTTTCGAAGGAACAACAGAGCTAAAGTGTGCACTACAAAACAGAAAATACTCAGTTAATGCTCTTAGCAGTTATTTAGTGTTTATTATGCATCAAAAGATGACTTATATATGGAAACATTTAATACTCATAGGACCCAACACACACACGACAATTGAAATACGGAATGCCCGCTTCCAGTCAGCGCGTTCAAGGTCGTTGAAACGAAACGGCGGACAGATTTGAAAGGGATTACCGTTTATACCTTGCCTATCCATCCTCACTAAATGGTATTACATAATCTGTGACGTAAGTGGACACTATTTTTGTTTCTATGCTATGGTTGTTTTGCATAACTACGATATGTATTCACATTAAATAAACAACGCTGTGCATACAACCCAATTTTCTGGACCCTATATTTTTCCATATATTTTGTACCAGTGATTCTTTAAGTAACCTGGTTTGTGTTTCATCAGATTTGTATGCCTTTCATATTTCCTTTAAAAGTACTTTCGTTCAAATTATATCGACCCTTTCCATGTTCTTGTGCACTTAATTATTGTTCACAATGCACCATAATTAGAAGTCCACTCATTTTTCTTAATTATGTTATTGACCGCTTAAAGAAAATCGAAATTGATCTTTTGCCAGACCAGTAATTCAGTGCCTCGTTACTAACTACTTACATTCAAGACGTCGAATGTTGAATTTGGAGATTTTTTAACAATATCAACACTTATATTACTCAAAGCTGCAAATAATTCTGCTTTGTAATTATTTCTAGTTTGTTCCTATACTAACTTATAATTGATAGCTGTTAGAACCATTTATTTAGCCTGATCTTATTCGGTCTACTACAGCATTGAGTATCAGCCATCCTAGATAGGTGCTGAATACCAGCTAGTGAGACTCCACTTCTGTAAACATACATTCCAGTCACATGAAAACAGTGAATAGGAGTATCCCGGAAGAGGCTCAAAACGCGTGACTATATATGAGCAGTGTGAACGGTCACTGAAGGTAATATTTTCGGGCCGTTCTTCAAGTGAAACTATTCATATCTCAGTGCAGAGGGTAATAACATAGGTACTAGCAACTAACTCATTTTATATAGATTTTGATAACTTATCTAAATTTGCAGGTTACTATCAGTTTACCTTTTCACGCGATTCACAGTCAAACGGTCGTCAAACAATATTAGCGCATTTACATAGCTTAGCTAAGTGAGAAAATCAGAATTCAGAGATTTCTTGCCTAATTACTGTTATACAGTTCATCCATGGACTGATAGAGACTCGGGTAAAATCTTCAAGTCTCGAAGACGTTAGACCCATTTAGAGAACATAGCTTCAATGTTACTGAATAACCACCAACTATATACAGGGATTATACCCTCAAAAGTGAAGGCTCAAGTGGTAAAAATTCTCGACTGAATTCATCCAGTTCAAATCCTTGCGATCGAAGTTCTAAATTCCAGATAACTGTATAAAAAATGTGAATAACTAATACTTAAGACATGTGAATACACCAGGAGTGCACCATCAACCTTACTTACTTACGCCTGTTACTCCTAATGGAGCATAGGCCGCCGACCAGCATTCTCCAACCCACTCTGTCCTGAGCCTTCTTTTCTAGTTCCATCCAATTCTTGTTCATTTTTCTCATATCTATCTCCATTTCTCGGCGTAATGTGTTCTTTGGTCTTCCTCTTTTCCTTTGTCCTTGAGGATTCCATGTGAAGGCCTGTCTTGTGACGCAGTTGGGTGCTTTCATCAATGTGTGTCCTATCCACTTCCAACGCTTCTTCCTCCGCTGGGATCTGGTTTGTTCTCTCCCACAGTACGTTGTTGCTAGTAGTGTCCGGCCAACGGATCTGAAGTATTTTGCGTAGACAACTGTTTATAAACACCTGTATTTTCTGGATGATGGCTTTCGTAGTTCTCCAAGTTTCTGCCCCATACAGTAGAAATGTCTTGACATTTGTATTGAAAATCCTGACCTTAGTGTTGGTTGACAGACAGTTGTTTTGAGTTCCAGATGTTCCTCAGTTGTAAATATGCTGCTCTTGCTTTGCAGATCCGCGCCTTCACATCTGCATCAGATCCACCCTGTTCGTCAATGATGCTGCCCAAATATGTAAAGATTTTTACGTCTTCCAAATCTTCTCCGTCAATTGTGATTGGATTGTGGCATTCTGTGTTGTATCGGGGAATCCTGCTTTTCCCTTTGTGTATATTGAGACCTACTGCTGCTGCCACACTGTTCGTCTTCTCCTGCATCTGTTTTTGCGTTTGGGATAGAAGGGCCAGATCATCTGCGAATTCTAGATCGTCCAGCTGCATCCTAAATGTCGACTGTAACCCATGCTTCCCCACACATGTTGACGTCTTTATGATCCAGTCGATCACCAGGAGAAAGAGTGAGAGTAACTAACCTTGCCTGACACCGGTCTTCACTTCGAACGACTTTGTCGACTGTCCTCCATGCACGATTTTGCAGTGTAATCCATCATATGAACTCTGTATGATATTGACTATCTTCTAAGGCACGCCGTAGTGTCGAAGAAGTTTCCATAGTGTTGTTCTGTCCACGCTATCAAATGCCTTTTCGTAGTCAATGAAGTTCATGTAGAGTGATGAATTCCATTCAATTGATTGTTCCACAATGATCCGTAGAGTTGCGATTTGGTCTGTACACGATCTATCCTTACGGAATCCTGCCTGTTGGTCACGAAGTTGGGCGTCTACGCAGTCCTTCATCCTGTTTAACAATACCCTGTTGAAGACTTTTCCCGGTATTGAGAGAAGAGTGATGCCCGTGTAGTTATCACACTTGCTGAGATCGCCTTTCTTCGGTATTTTGATCAGGAGTCCTTCATTCCAGTCTTTTGGTACTTGTTCCTCATCCCAAATCTTATTGAAGAGAATGTGGAGTATCCTTGCAGTTGCCGCTACGTCTGCTTTTAGTGTCCCTGCTAGAATGTTGTCCGGTCCTGCTACCATCAACCTATACAGAGACAATTGAAGTGTGAATGATCTGATGAGAAACACTTCAGTTTTAGAAGTGTTTGAGGGAGCGTTTTGGAATTGAAACTTAAATTATCATACTACAAAAGAAAACGGACCTGACCACCATTAATTTGTTCCAAATATGGTGCTAGAGGAAAAACTATAGTCGAGAATTATTTCACGTCAAAATAGAATGAATGGTGAAATGACGAAGGCGGGTTAATAAACTACTGAAGCATAGGAGCAATAAAAAAGTAACTACGGTTTCATCTATTTGAAAGAATTAAAAAATTCATAGAAGTGAGCTATACGACAATACATACATTAGTGAAATTACATTTAAAAATCAAGAAATAAATGTGTTAAAAGAAATATTGATGATGGAACCAGAAACGAAAATGCGACAGAACATAATGAACATAAATGTCATTAGTTTAATGTATCACATTAGCTTATTATGCTCAGACCTGAAAAAGTATGTTTTCCAATTATTTATCCGAAAAGTGTATTGTTACGACTGTTGCAAAAGAAAACCATTTATTATGGTTTATTTAGCATTATAGCGATGTAAAAGTAATCCATGGCATGAATCACAGACTCGTACAGGTTTGGCAGAACTTGGTAAAGTCATTTTTCTGGATGAACATTCGTGACAAAATATCAGGCCGCAATTTCGACAGTGGTGCTAGGAAAATAGAAAATGGAACTAATTAAATCCTGAAATGCAATTTTAGAAGGGATAAGAGAGAGGAGAGCAAGAATCGTTTGATATTACTAAGCCATATTAAGAGCACGATGCGAAAAAATTATGACAGAAATCAGATAATCAAAACTAAACCAGAGGGGAGAACAAATTGTAACTTTCTCACGTGGTAGCCAGTTAACTGAATAGATCGCTTTTTGCTAACAACACGAATTCTCAGTGTGTTATACACTAGGAGTATAAATGGTGTGTTTTGATAGATATACCATTTCATTTTATTAGTCATGATTTTTCGGTTATTTATAAACGTTGACTAGATCTTTCGCCAGAAAACAAGGTATATGAATCATTTATCTTTAGCGATTTAGTAGTGAACATTTTAATGTTATTTATTCGTAAATCTACGTTGGAACAATAAACTTGTCATCATGTTGAACTTTATTCGAGTCCATTTGAGATTTATTATCCCATAGGTGGGTTATGTTTGAAAGACATTGAGAAAATACAAATGGTAGATTGACACCTTGTAATTCATATAATAGAAAAACGATAAAGTTATTTCATGATAGTTGGTAACAGATACTATCCGAGTTAGATCTGATTGTACATTACATTATGTTCGTGTTGAATAATATGTACAATGGATAATTAAACTGTATTTTTTGAAAATAAAAGGTAGTCAGAAACTGGAAAATATAAGGCGAGAATCGGAAAAACATTTATATTCTTTAGTTATATGATAAAAAGGTCAGATTTTTCAAGTCGTCCAAACCATTTACGATCGAATCAATGAAGATATTTAGAAGTATGGGACTCCTCAGAACTACGTATTCATAGTCGCGCACGTGGGATTGCAGATGCGCACCGCTGAGGAGTCCCATACTAGGACGAAACAGCCATCGAGTGTTTCCAGGTTTTCAGAGGTGGTCTAACATTGGTTCATTCATGATCTCAATCAAAATTCAACAACCTTCACAACCCGATACTGAAATTTAGAAGTGTATCTAACCGATTCTAGTGATCAAATAATTAAATCCAGTCAATAAAATTTATGATACATGATCTGTTGTTAGGAATCATAGGTCACAAGTGTTTTATTTAATGTCATGTCTACGCCAACTAGACAATACATCGAAAGCAGCATTGTCAACATCAACAAGGAATTATTACAAAGTGTAAACTCAACAGGTTTAGTGTTTAAATTGGACACAAAAATCATAAACTCAAACCTGGTTTAATCTACCTTAAAAATCATATATAAATAATATATTTGTAAAATCCCAATGAGTAGAAAATTACATTATCTGACGTTTCGTGACTTAGTGTAAGTCACTTCTTCAGAGAATAAATAACCAAAGTAAAATTAATCCAAGTTTAAATAGTACAACGGAACAATAAGAATAATATTTGATCAATCAAAAACAGGTCTGAACAAGTTAATGTCATGTCATTTCGGTCAAGGTGATTCATAAGTGATATGTATGTAAATTTGTGTATGTATGTGTGCATTGTTTAAGAATGTAAAATTGTGTGACCTTTATGATGAGAAAGGGTAGATTCGAACCCAGGACCTACTGGCTTCGCGCACGAACACTTAACCATTAGACCACTGAGCCGGCATCCAGTGGTGTGAATGTCTAACTTCAACCAATCCACGAAGTTGCGCCACCGTACACCATTGTCTTCAGTGAGTTCCTATCTCACAACAGACCTGGTTGAACTCCACTGGTAACGACTTCTCACTAGAACTCCGCTGGATGCCGGCTCAGTGGTCTAATGGTCAAGTGCTCGCGCGCGGAGCCAGTAGGTCCTGGGTTCGAATCCCGCGGGGGGCGGGTTCGTGGATGCGCACTGCTGAGGAGTCCCATACTAGGACGAAACGGCCGTCCAGTGCTTCCAGGTTTTCCATGGTGGTCTAGCTTCAATTGGCTCATGATTTCAACTTGTGAGAAAGGATAGAGTTCAATTTGTAATATGGTAGTGTGAATTGTAAATATGATCAGACTGAATGGCTAGGATAGATGGTCCAAGTAGGATGTATGGTGAGGCCTTCCTTTCTATTGAGAGAAGTAGGATTAAGCATTATATGGAACGCTTCAGCTACCCTCCTTTCTTTGTAGTTGGAAAAGCCTTTTTGCAATATTTTGATGTTTTTAAAATCAATTTGGTGGTCGTTGAAAATGGCATGAACTGTTATTGCCGATTTAATTTGAAGTTGATCCAATTCTACAGGATTGTTGGGAGGTTTCTTTGTGTACCTAATATGTTCTTTGGCTCTAGTCAAGATTTCGCGGGATGACTCTCCAATATAGAAGGCATCACAATCGATACAACCTAATTTGTAGATGCAGTTCTATGTGGACAAGAACGGGATTTTTTCTTTTAGGCGAACTAAAGTATTTCGTAGTGTGTTCGTTGTTTTGTAATATACTTTAATTCTGTGTTGTTTCAAGATTCTTTGAAGTTCTTCTGTTGTGCCATGACGGTATGGTAGAACTGCAGTACCAATCCATAGCATTTCATTCAAATCATTATTATAACGTACTAAACTGTCTTGTTTTAATATACTGCTGATAATCTTCATAGGAGAATTATTAAATTGTAAGATGCTAACTACATTCTTTTGTTTGTCTTCCTCTGATGTGATGATCTTGTTAGCTCTCCTAAAAAGATTTAATGCTAGCGAGATCTTAGCATTAAAAGGATGTGCTGAATGAAAGTCAATATAACGATTTGAGTGCGTAGGTTTTCGGTAAATGGATAGGTTCAGAATTCCATTTGGATTTCTTTTTACTAAGCAATCCAAGAATGATAACTCATCATCGTTATGATTTGTACCGTAAATCAGTATGTAACTATCCTATCATTGGTCCCACAACAAGAAGAGATATTCGAAATAATTGTTTCTTACGAATAAATGGGAATTCCAATTATTATACATACAGAAACAACATACCCGACGACGACTAACATTGAACGGACTATGACAAAGAAAACAGTTTGGATTTTCAGAATCATTTGCCCATTGAGCATCACTGAATGCACTATGTGACTCACGCAAACTTTCAGCTTCAAGCTTACTCGAATTCACAACCGCAGCCATTTCGGATAAACTATACTCCTGTTCTTCACACCGTTTACGCCAGACTTTAAGTTGTTTGTCTAACTCTTCAACTTCCTAGAAAGCAAAAATTAATGAACGATCATATGATGTAATGTTGTAAAATAACTTTGACTGACCACAGTTATCAGTGAAAAATAATGAACTTCACAGTAAAAAGTAGAAAGCGAAAACTAATATTTCGAAAATCGACACAAAACTGAAATATCCATGTTGTGATTATTAATTGGAGTGACCGTAGCAATAAAATGAACCGGTCTATAAGTAATAGAACTGAAATAGTAAAGAAACTAAAATCTAACATCTCGCGAAAATTCTACATCGAATGAATATCCTTTTCACAGGTTGAAATCATGAGTCGATTGAAGCTAGACCACCATGGAAAACCTGGAAGCACTGGACAGCCGTTTCGTCCTAGTATGGGACTCCTCAGAAGTGCGCATCTACGACCCCGCACCACGCGGGATCTGTTGTGAGATAACAACTCACTGAAGACAATGGTGTACGGTGGCGCAACTTCGTGGATTGGTTGAAGTTAGACAATAACACCGTTGGATGCCGGCTCAGTGGTCTAGTGGTTAAGTGCTCGTGCGCGAAGCCAGCAGGTCCTGGGTTCGAGTCCCGTGGGGGGCGGGTTCGTGGATGCGCACTGCCGAGGAGTCCCATACTAGGACGAAACGGGCGTCCAATGCTTCCAGGTTTTCTATGGTGGTCTAGCTTCAATTGATCCATGATTTCAACCTGTGAAATTTCCAGAACTTTCCACAAAACCCATTCTGAGAATATCCTTTTGTTTGATCTTTAAATACAGACTTTCTGTGTCAGCAAAGTAAAGAATATTGTGGTTTGAAAAGAAAATTGACTTAAGCCATCATTTAGGTGACAGTACATAATACCATAGGAGGGTGGAACATGAAAACAAATTAAAATAGATTTTTAATCAATTTAGACGAAACTAGATGCAAAGTAAATTAAATTAACCTCCCAAATTATCTATACACTGAGAGGTTATGTGTCAAACTACTGAGATCATACAGTTCATCTATCTTCAAAATTTAACATTCTTCCAAGTAAATTGAAAAATATCTAAAGGTCTTGGTAAAAACACAAATACTACTTACGAAAAGAAATGTACGACAAATAAATTCGAAAAAAATGAAAGCACTGAGACAAATATTATAATAGTTCTTAAAACTGGATGTCTTCACTTAACGAGACACTGTCAGTAAAAAAGCTTTGCAGATAAGATTAAACTTGAAGAGAAAGCCCGATGAGTTGACTTAACAAGCTGACTGAATAAATCTCTAAATTACCATAAAGCTTTTGGGAAGACCACTGATAAAGGATGAATTTTTGAGACTGATATTGATAATTTATTGTCATTACATACAGATCTCTCATTTGAAAAACATTGATAGATTAGAAGCCATCAAAATCTGTACGTAGGAAGAGAAAGAAACAACTAGTGTGCAGAAGGAAAACAAAATCTACAATGAATAATGAATGATAAGAACCACTACTGTTCTTTGAGAAAAAAAAAGTAAATCAAGCAAATCCTCAATTTACTAATATTGGAAAACAACCCTAGTAGTTACGAAGGTTCTCTTAATTAAACCAAGGATATATGATCAAAGATGTCTTCAAGGAACTACTGGCATTTCATTGAAAAACAGAGTGAGTAATGTTGAAGTTACACAAAAGGTACTACGTAAAGGTAACAAACAGGTTGATGAGACTGTAAATTTTCGTATGCTGCCCATGGCTAAGCACCACTCACCTCGATTTGTAATGTTAACTGGTGTAGGAGTAAGCTGGAAGAAATGTAGGAGTAGCTAAACTAGAACATGACATTATCCATAATCGTTCGTCTGGACCCTGTTGGCAGGTCCAAAATGCCTGGTTAGGGTTTACCCGGTAACTGGAATTAGTGGCTGGAGACTTTGAATGACTCAGAATCGATCACTTCCATTCCTTAGTTATTTATCGTGTTAACTTCATCTCCTTGTGCTAAAGTAGTGTAGCAACTTAATCAAACGCACGTTTGAGCCAGGATCTAAGCTGAATACGGGTGACTTTATGGCATGAAAGGTCCACAATCCATCAAGCTTCAAACTATAACTTCATGTACATCAATTTTAGAAGAAAGTAATACACTTGTTTACAACACAAAAGCAAAAAAAGTAAACAAACCGCATGTTTTTAGTGAAGTTTTCTCCTGACATTAGCATAACTTACACAATGAATGATCACCAAAAATCATCACTGAAATAGGATTTATTGAATAGAAATAATGACTGTAATATTAAAATGTATACAATTAATTAATCTTACTAATTTACACAAAACTAGCTGGTCAGAAGCCATCTTTGAATTATTCAACTCGATTGTTTGCTCATTCAATTCAGTTTTTAATCTTTCGATCTGACTAGCTTGATTTTCAATCACTTTTAACTGCTCAACAGATTTTGTATCTGCGTTTGACAACTCTTCGCGTAGTTTATATAAATCTCGTTCCTGTGAAACCTTTTCATTAGTAAGCCTAGCTATTCTGAGTGTAAACAAAAAGGGGAAAAACTATTAAATAAAAAACGGAATATATATATATATATATATATATATATATATATTAGTTATTAGGATTACATAATATTTATTACTTAAGCCTTCATAAATACACTACTGTTTCGTCTGTTAATCATAGAGAACGTAGAAATAGACATAAATTTGCATTGGTTTAAGTAGTAACATTACGCATCATCAGTGTAAGGAAAATAAGATTTAAGGTGAAAGAGTTGAAATTGTGTTCTCGATGGAGTCAGTGAAATAAGATAGGAAATATATTTCGAAAAAAAACACAACAAAACGATAAGTAAGAAACATAAGTCGATGCTAGAACTCACAATTTATGGGAAAAATAATAAACGAATCTGCACTTACTGTAATCAATTTTGCATTATGTCAATCCTTAAACTAACGCGACTTATCTACCAACTACAGGATTAAGCGGTCAGCTTCGAGGTACAGTGTTTGCGTGAGTTTCTGATAGTATACAATTGTCGCAAACCAAAGTAGTTATTGCGAGGTTTGCATTTGAGAACTAGTGGTTAAAAGTTACTAGCTGTAACCAATAAATCATCATGTCTCATATCGCTTAACAAAGTCAACAGTAGATTAAAACCATTAAATGAGCCTAAAACAGTACGCTTAGTTTCCTCATACAGCTCAAACCGTCAGTTCATGACTTTATGGATGAAGGAGCTGTATAATATTTCTTCGTACTCAGAGTTTTTCCAGATATTAACAAAAATTATAATCCAGGAAGCTTCAATTAGACTCAATTATGAGACCATGAGAATTGAAGGATAAGCTGAACATTTGAGTTGAGTATTATGAAAGAAAAGATGTCCAGTTTCTTATATCCTATTGGTGTTTCAGTTATCCAAGTTATCGGAGTTTAAATTAGAGTCAAATATAGTTTGGGAAACTAAAAATTTTGCTCACTAAGTAAGCGATAATTTGTGTACATTTAAATCACATATTGCAAGAGGCTAATACATACTATCTGATTGCCCAAAAGTTATGCAAATGAAATATGATTCAAACATGTAGACATACTTGTTCAATTCCTAATCTATTGAATCCTAAATTCATACATAAATCCGGTATAAACAGACAATATATGCAGAAAGCAAATGTTGATCAACAACTGACTGAACTGAATCTCAAAAACATAAAGGAAAAAGTGACAACAAAAATGCGTAGGATCAGAGAAAAAGACTTCATACACTCACAACCAGAAATTAGATGTTTACAAAAGTGCACCATAGTGTTTTAATAAAAATCAAACAGATGATTAATCAAGCTTATACAGTCATATTTCTTAACGGTAATTATCTTCATGAAACTCTGGTTTTAAAGAACCAGTTGTGTTTCTCAGCCATCAAAATTTACTTTGGGTGAATCTATAATGACAAACCAGGGTAACATAACAATAAAAAACTAATACTTAATATAATTTTATTAACAAAACAATAGCTTGCTTTGAGTCCAGTAATTCATGGACAAAGGTTTAATAAAACAGACTTGTTATCCATATTTACCTCTCGTTCATCTGTTCAATCATATTTGTCATTCCTTTACACTTAGCTTCTAATTGTTTAATTATAGTTTGTTTATGTTCAAGTGACGACTGGGAATCCTGAAACAATTAATTATAGAAAAAAAGAAATAGAGTACATTTAGATTGCGAGTTCGTGAAACTGAACATGTTAAAAATGATGGTAGTAATAATATATAAACTCACGAACATTATAGGATGAAGTGAACTCATCTTACTGAATTCACTACACATTTATAACACGTATAGTTTTTAAGAAATTTTGTTTTAGAAACCAGTCCAATGGTCAAATGGTTATACATTGAATTAAATATAGTTACACAACACATGGATCTACAGACATTTATTAATATGCAATGATAAGCTTATGAATTTTCGGTTTAATATTCTAAATGAAAAATAACCTAACGATTGACTTGTTTGCCTCTCTTTCACAAAATATGAGTATTTAGATAACAAAATGTATATTTTGAAAATAAATAGATAGTAACATTTATATACCACGACAGTGTTTTAAAACAATCATATTCCTGTACAAAATAAATGTCGGAGAATGAGTCCAAATTACTACAGTCCATAAAAATGGACTTTCATAACCTAATAGTTTTATTAACTTTCAAATAGTCGATTTTTGGTTGAAGGTCTGAACTGTTTAAACTATTTCAGGTTGCTAACGGGTCGAAATTCGGAATGTTGCCACCAAATACGGAATCTGGATCAGCATTTCTGAAACTACGTGTATTACTTAAACTGACCTCCAACGTTCCCACCTGAATGCAGACCAGATAACACATACGTTTGGTTATTTGTTTACAAAGTCGTGATGTCGACATCTGCTGCATCTTCGAGGCAGGTGTTCAAAACTCTAGCGAAGTAATATGAGTGATCACATGGTCGCTTTAGACTTCTTGAACAAAGTGCACTCCGGTATTGCTTGTCTTAAAAAGATGTAGATGACAGGTTTGTCGACATCTTGAAGGCTCTGTACACAGACAACTGAGATAAAGTGAAGACATACAACCACCTCTCACCATTTTTCCATTCCGGTAGCGGAGTAAGGTAAGCTTATCCAATCTCAGTATTCCTTCTCAGCTTTGCCACTGACAGGATTCCGGAAGCAGCTCTGATGGTAGTAAACATGTAGATCTGTTACCTGGAGAAAGGCTTTTTGATTTCCAGTATCTGGATGATATGGTCTTACTGTATGGGGATAACTAACATTCAGTGGAAACGCCACGTTAGTAGTGAGGAGGTTGGACAGTGTGTTCGAGCACAGTGACGACGACTGACTTGGTGTCACTGCCTAGAGACACCAGCTACGGTGGCTCAAATGAGTGCCACGAACGTCGTCAGAGCGACCTCAACATCTTGATCTGTTTACTGACGTTGGGATTGGTCAGAAAAAGAGGGTAGTCAGTTTATGACATGAAACTGTGAGATGAAAGAAAGCTTCATGGGCATATCACCTGCTGGTCCATAACGACTACCTTAGTTGGGCTCTCAGAGATAGCACAACTCAACGAATTTTGACGTTATCAGACATGGCTCATAATAGGAACCATTGGAGGAAAGGAAACTCTCTTAACGGAGAGAATCCTTTCAGGTTGTTATCTAATTGAACTGATTCTTTCATTATGTACCAGTTTTGTTCATTTATTTTCACATAATTATTTTTTGGACTAGATTCACTTTTCATCATTTATCTCTTCGAGAATTCATTCACTTGTTTGTATGGTGAACAATTATCTTGATGCCCAGTTGTCGCAGTATTTATGTATTCATATGAGTGACTCAATCAATAAAATAAGTAATGATGCGATTATAGAATTGTTAAAAATGTGTCATATTTACTAAATAACATATGGTAACACTTATTATTATTTATTTCAACACATAAATATTGGTACAAGAGGGCACCAAATATATATGCGCCACACCATATTTGTGTGTGTGGGCTGTGATACTGCCCGGGTGCCCGGACCGAAGCAGGTGGTTTGCTTAGGGGGCCACACCCCGAGTCTTTGGCCTAAACGTCTAACCCACAAGGCAGTGAGGAGATGCAGTCCCATGGTAGCCGGTGGCCAAAAATTGGTCCATACGCCATTTGTTCTCGCAGGATACTAGGGCCCATATGCACCATTGGTTTGAGATCCGGTTAAAGCGCCGAACATTCCCTTTTTGTCCTCTCATCTTCGTAAACAACACCCCCGCCACGAGAAGGCAGTGATCAGGATTTCCCTGGCAGAGGCTGTATACGCGTGGCCGTGTGAGAGCATTTTGAGAGGGGGGTGAGCCCACCCCACTCTCGGCCATACCAGGGCATTTGGGGGCATGGAGCCTCCGGGTGGTAAGACTACGGGCAAAAAAACTGATGAAGCAACACGCGATTTAAAATAATGGAACAAGTTAAGGAATAATTGACATTACCGTCAGAGTCAAGAGGATGTGGTAATGATGGCGTTTTGTGAAAATCCACAGTTGAATTATAGTCGTAATTCTAATTCACGTAAAATAAGAATCCAGACAAATTACTTACTGAGTAGTGACTTGATTCTTTAAAGTCGTGTATTCTGAGATTCTACTAGGTTAAGAAATCCCAGAGACTAAAGAAATACATTTAATGCTAAGCGATTAACGATATTTAACACCAGTGTATATGCATATCCGGGTGTTAGCGGGACATAGATTTGATTAAAGCATACTCAATGCACGATTGCGTTGCTGCACGCTGATTGGCTAATTCTTATCCAATCACTGGTAACCAATACTTGGAGAACACTACAATCTCCTAACGTAAAAACCATAAATACACTTTTTTTCGATTGTGCTTCTTACTTCCATCCAACCTTGTTATTTGGAATATAATCCCTTTCCTGTTCAACCGTGTTCTGATTTATGGACTTGTCGAGTGAATCGGTGTCCAAGATCACTAAGCAATAGGAATAGCTGGAGTGCAATAAGAGAGAATTATAACACCAGAAAACATCGTGTTACCTGTAGAGCTACAACACTTGGTTGTTCAATTTTGAATTCAAAAAATATAATCCAGATGGTATTCACAAAAGAGTAAGATCTGTGAACAAATCTATGACTTCCTTTCAACGATTTTTTCATAATATCATTCAAAGAAAAAGTTAGACTCTACTGTGCAGAAAATAAAGCAAACCACTTACGAATAAATATCGAGTTAACTGATTACATCTTTTATTTGATTCATCTAAATGACTTCGAATCGATTCAACAAGTTCAGCATTTTCTTCATTTGTCTTTTGGCAATTTTTTAATTCAGACTCTAATTGATTTATGCGACTCACTGCTTCCTAGATAATTGAAATACACAATAAGTGGATGGGGAATTAAATAACAGAGCATTTATTATTACAAAATTAAAGTACTTCTAACTGCTGGACTATAATCTTACAGTAAACTTAAATGTAGTTTTCAGAAAAACTCATTAAATTTGAACTGGACTGCTATACATGTTTTATTTTAGGAGTCGTATTTAGTCATACACTCATAAACCCATATATCGTAAAGGATTTATCCCACTTAATTTACTTTACACCAAGTCAGACATACAGAAGAAGGAAACTTAAAATTATCTTATTGTTAACGAAATATTTCCTAATTCCAATACAGCGAAATGGAGGAGAGGATGATAAAGAAACACAAAACAAGCACCCATCTACTAACAGAACAGAAGGAAAAGCGACACTGGATCTCAATAGATGTGGGTATAAATCCGGCCAAGAAAAGAGAGGAACTTCGGACTGAAAAATTACAAAGGAGGCCAGGCAACTTTTAAACACACAACGTCACTAAGATCATCTTTCCTAGCCGAAAAAACCTCACTATATCAGCAACACCAGATATTTCAGAGTACCTAACTCATTTACCGACTAGAAATTTATACACTTGACTTCGAGCCACATTACATACGAGAGCTTATGAAAATATCCGGTTGTACATACTGAAGTACGTGGAGCAGGGTTCGGACATGTCCCTTAGTGGCTTAACTCCGGACACAACCACTGGCCGATGATAGTTGTCTGTTTAGGTCAAATGATATGTGTGAAGTGCCTAAATAATGAAATGATATCGCAAATTGTTCAATTAGCAGGAAATTTGACCAAATAATTTTCTACAGCTTAGCAGAATGGTTTATTAACAAAAATCATCAGTATCATTTTCGAAACATTTGTCCAATATAAAGTGATAAACTAAAATTACAAACGTTTTTTTCGTATAAAGAGTCGATTCATTAAATAGGAAGTTAAACAGATATTTTAATTGAGTGACTAAAGATGCGTAACAAACAATCCAAATGTTATAGAAACCTGTTTAGATTAAATTTTTTATCCGACCACTACTGAATCCTTATACTAGTAGTAAATCTTCTAGCACCCATTTGAATATTCTGTACAGCTAGAATGTACGTATAAGTCATGGAATTGAAAAACATTTTTGCCACCCGCACATTTTTTTCATCAGTGACGAAAAAACTAAAACAGAAGCTTAGTAGGACTAAGTATTAAAAATGTTCCATGAAACAAAACTAGTAAATAACATTTTGGGAGACTTGGAACAAAGTGATAAAACGAAGTTTTTAAACAGATCGGGGTGTACAGAAGTGAAGTATAGTCAGTCTATAATAAGTCAATTCAAAATTAACTGGTGGATATGTATGATATGTACTGAGTAATCGTGAGCTATTAAGAAGATTAAATTTGGCATTAAGTGGTGGTTACATTGTACCCTAATATCGGTGCTAAACGTCCGTTTGTTTTAAACTGGCAAGATTGTAGTTAAGACATAGTAAGAAGTTAATTTAATAGTGATTTACTTTTAAACATTCTTTAATATAAGTATAGGGTTGTGGAAATTGTTGAGTTCCATTTAAATCATAAACCGATCAATGTTAGACCACCTGGAAATTCCAGGTTTTTTATAGTGGTCTAACATTGATCGGTGCATGATTTCAGTGAAGTTCTTTCATACAATTTATACAAATAAAGCATTGACATTTACCATATTTTCTGAATGCATGTTATTTAAACCAACTTGGTCCTTTTTCAGTTGTGCTACGGTGATATACAAACTCCGATTTTCAAGTTTCATGGATTCCATCTGCTTAGAAAGGTGTGTAATTTCATTGTTTAGTCTTTGATTTATTGTATTTTCTCGATCGATTCGTTTCCTTAAAAAGGATTTGATGGACAAAATTTATTTGGTAAAACAAAAAAATTAACTGAATGGAAGTATTTATTTGGAAATGATCATCTCGGCAAAATATTATTCATAAGTATGCTCAGTGATTCATCTGCAGTCAGTCAGTCAGTCAGCTACAACGTAGGACCAGGCACATATGTGCATCGGTCCAGGTTGCCATACCTCATTAGCACAACAAGATGAACACCGGATTCATAGGAGTGGTTAGGTCAAAGGTTGCAATAAGGATATAGTATAGGAAGGAAGAATTAGTTCGTAGAAAGAAAGATATGAAGTGATTTAATCTCTTAGTTTAAGGGAAGACAGGGAGTGTATACACCGACGCCATTGTGATCGATTCTGAGCCATGTCACCAAGAGTCTCCAACCATTGGTTACGATAGTCACGCGGACCCCAACCAAGTAGTCTGCATCTACCAACATGGCTCAGACTAGAAGTTAGTGACTTCAAGCACTGATGCCACGTTTTGGTTTGGCCGCCCCTAACTTTCTTCCAACCAACCCCTACACCGGTTAGCATTGCACGTCGTGGTAATCGGTGTTCAGGCATACGTAATACGTGGCCCAACCATCTCAGTCGATGAAGATTCACAACCTCATCAACTGATTTACCATCATTCCCTAATACCCTGCGTCTAACCTCACTATTACTTACCCGGTGATCCCAGCAGATGCCAGCAATATTTCTAAGGCATCTGTGGTCAAATACTTGTAGCTTACGGGTGTCTTCTACTCTTAAAGGCCATGTTTCGCTGCCGTAAAGTAAGACAGAACGGACTGCCGCGCAGTATACTCGTCCTTTTATTGATAGACGGATATCTCGCCTCCGCCAAAGGTGACGTAAGTTGGCAAAAGCCAAACGAGCTTTTCGAATCCGTGCTGAGATTTCGTCAGACACCAACCCATTAGGGCTGATCAGACTTCCAAGATAAGTGAAGTTGTCGACGCGTTCGACTACTTAACTCCCTATCCTTAGTTCAGGTGTTGACGCACACCAGTCCTGAAGCAACAACTTGCATTTAGAGGGAGAGAAGCGCATCCCAAACATTCTGGCATTGTTGCTTAGTGCTACCAGAAGACTCTGCATTTTATCAGCGTCTTCACCAAACAGGACTATATCATCTGCGTATTGTAAGTCGATAAGTGGACCTCCTGGAAGGAGATCAATACCCGAGAATTCAGTCGACGAGAGTGTTATTTCCAATTGTTTATTTCAAAAATGTGAATAAACGTTTTCTGGCACGGTTTGAGGGACAAGCTTATGTACAGTCTCAACTGAAGAATATCACCGCAACTAAACAAAACTGCATGTGCTTACTAGTGACTGGATTCAAGATAGATTTCCTTGAGTTCTAGTGAGAAGCCGTGACCAGTGGAGTCCAGTCCGTGTCGGGTAGAGACAGGTATCTACCTCAAACAATGGATGAAGGGCTGCGCAAGATCGTGGATTGACTGAAGTTAGACATTAATACCATTGGATGACGGCTCAATGGTCGAGAGGTTAAGCGTTTGCTCTCGAGTCCCACATGAGGGATCGTGGGTGTTCACTGCTGAGAAGACACGGATAAGGACAAAATGGTCGTCTAGTGCTTCCAGGTTTTTAATGGTGGTCTAGCTTACACCGACTCATGAGTTCAAGTAATAAAAATTCAACATACGTGACAGGAAATATCTCAAACAAGGAATATACGCAAAATAAACAATAGAAAGGACTATGTTTGAAAAGAACATTTTTAGTACAATCTTAGATAACAGTTAGAATGAAAGCCTTTCAGAACTGATTAGAAATTTATTACACTTGCACTCATTCCTAGTTTCCAAATGAATTCACACCAAACACTGAAACCAGCAGAGACCGGTGAAAGTTAGTTTGTAAAGCCAAACAAGAGAATGAAGAAGTGTAAAACATTCCGTTTTAAGGGCCTTTATGAATAAATTCTGTTCTTTGAACGGACCAATTTGCAAGGACCCTCAAAGTGATATACACAAACTGTGAAGTTCTACATTGACAATAAACCAGTGATTGACACTTATGTGCTTGGACCAATGAAACACGTTTGTGAATTCATAAACAATGAAAGCAATAAATGCTGCTACAAATTAAAATACCGAAACTTACTTCAGTACGTTGCATAAATCTTCTAAAAAATTCTTCTGGTCGATTGAAGATGATAAATCTGCTGGACGACATAAACTAAAACGAAAAATTCCTTCTCAGTATTTATCGCTCGAGTAATAAATAATATATCCACAAAAATGTATCACAACGGTTTTACAAATAGTCAACACTTAGTCCTTATTAGATGTTATAGTCCATTAAAAATTAGTGGAAAATAATGTATCTGACTTGATGATGTAATTATGTAATCAGTACAGAAGTCAGTTGAGGATTTTAGTAATAATTATTAAGGGCTGAGTAAGAGAATGCTCAATGTAAAAGGCATGTTAATAAGACAGTAACCTGTTCGGAGTTTGTTTCAAACAACGTTATGTTGGAGCAGACTGATTGGTCTATTTCTAACTCGAGAATATTTTTGTGTGAAATTTATATGTACACTGACATTTTGTAACCTAAATTATTGTTTTGTTTGAAATATATTTGTGCTTTAACCAAGATGTTTTTTGATGTAGAAACCAGTCAGATAAAGTCGATTGTCCCAATGCACTAGGTGGAATAAGGAGACTTAACAAGACTAATCAGTGAAATTTTGTAGTTTCAATACATGATTTGTTTGCCTATTTATTTATAATGATATATATGTATTTCTGATATATGTAATGAGTTTTCCTACACAATATTTCTACATGTATACAAATTCGAAACTTCACTGATACAGTCTAATCCTAGATTGTAAAAGGATTTACAAATTGATTTTACCATTTTATGAACATTTTCTTTCTGAGACAGCTTGAAAATTTAGGTTATAACTAACATTCCCTCCGTCGACTGGTCATTGCAGAGAGACTAATAAAATTTACGAATGGAATTAGGGTTTACTTCTTCAAAGCAAATTAAATATGTATATTTTGTGTGATTATAGTTAAAAACATTCTGAAAACAGACATTACAAAGACGATCGATAAGAACAAGCAAATCATTCTGTTTTTATAGTAATTCAGTGAAATAGGGGGTCGTTGTCTTAATCTTATAGTTGTTAGTAAATTACAAATCCAGATGAGAACTGTGAGATAATTGGACAGTTCGAATCTACAAACTCTCCAGAATATATAATAGTTACAGTTAGTTGTTTAGAATGAAGTAATTCATTTCAGTTAAAAGCAGTTAGTCCGTTTTATAAATTTCTATAGAGTAATCAGAAGACGGAGCTATTTTAATCAACTCCGTCTCATTGCTTTATCGTCATTTCAATTTACCTATTGGAGGGTAACTAAATATAAGTAACCCGAATTTAATATTAGTTACCTAGTTCTTTACCACCAAACTATCTTACGCATTTTATATATTTGTGTAATGTAGTGATTAATTATGCCGAAAGTGCCAGAATTTTACATATTAATAAATGACAAAACGAAAAATCTATGCATTGTTTATGATTGAGGACAGATTTGGGTGATTTAGATTTCATCTGTACATCTGAGATCATGGAGTAGTTTTAAATGCACACAGAACAACACCTAAAGTAGTAATGAAAATATCAAATGTTCTACCCAAATTTTCTGTGAAATTGAGACATGATGAGTAGTTAAGTCTCGTAACTCAATTGATATAACAGATAAATGGATTATCTAGAGGTCGCTTATCTAATTCCTGCTGCAATCCAGATATTTCTTCAACTTTGATGGTTACCTCTGTATACAAAACTCAACGTATGATTTCAGACAATCTAAACTTAAATTCAGAAGCATAACTACGTAGTCCACGCTACACAATCCTGATCAAAATACTTATTTGTAAATATGGTCAGTGCTTTTACCAACTGAAGACTTACAAATGATGTAGATATACTAAATTAGTACACTCAGAAATCGTATCTAAAACATCCTGTGTTATAATTCTCTCTTATTACAACCCAGCTATTCCTGTTGCTTAGTATTCTTGGACACCGATTCACTCGACAAGTCCTCAAATTAGAACACGGTTGAACAGGAAAGGGACTATATTCCAAATAACAAGGTTGGATGGAAGTAAGAAGCACAACTAAAAAAACGTTAGTATACTTATAGTTTTTACATGAGAAGATTGTAGAGTTGTTATAATCCTCTCTTACGGTTATAACCCAGCTATTCCTATTGCTTAGTATTCTCGGACATCGATTCACTCGACAAGTCCCCCAAATCAGAACACGGTTGTACAGGAAAAGAGATTATATTCCAAATAACAAGGTTAGATGGAAGTAAGAAGCAAGTAAGTGCAATAGGGAAAACGTTAGTATACTTATAGTTTTTCACATGAGATTTCTAGTGTTCACTAAGTATCGGCTAACGCTGATTGGATGAGAATTAGCCAATCAGCGTGCACCAAAGCAATCGTGCATTGAGCATGCTTTAGCCAGATCTATGTCCCATTAACATCCTGTTACTAACCATTTTATTTACTGACAAAGATGTTTTATCTATTTCACTAAAGAACAACTTGAAAGTTATAACTGGACTTCAAATGGTTTGGATTACCATGTTTTCCGTGTTTTAACTGAAATTTGTTCAGTCTCTTTTCGACGTACGTGTATCCTGTGCGAATCGCCTCGATAGAGCCATTGACAAAAGTTAATATAAAATAGATCAATTTTGCGAGGGTATATCCAGCTGATGAGACATAAATAAGAAAAGTGGGTCCTATATTACACTGTTAGTCATATTCTATTTATTTTATATTAACATCAAAGTTATAATTTGTAATCATAATGCAACCAATAAAACTTTCGTATGTTGAATATAAGAACAATAACTTTTCAGAGGAACCAAGGACTCACACTTTCTTAACCATCAAAATTACTATATCTGTAGAGATTGTAGTAGTATCGCAACTAAAAATTGACCGCATATGACCCCACGTTAGTCTTGAGATCTTGTGAATGACGCCTAATTCACCTTGAAGGGTGAGTAATTTAGACGATAAGAGAATATCACTTAGTTTAAATATTACCACCTCAAGTATTACGTGTATCAATCCATGGATTCGTAGAATAAACATATCTTTCCTAAACAACAAATCCTGTTGCTACTCTCCATTTGACGTTTATTTCACAGACACGTCACACTATCCTCATGCATGATAAAGTTGACTGTCTTAACAAACAACAGAAACGACGTTTTACTGATAACTAATTATACATACATAAAATACCCCTGAACATGTCAAAGCAAACACAGCCAAACTTCATCCAAAAACTTACTTTACTTTTGAATATAACTTTTCAAGTCTATTCAAGTTAGCTTGTAAATATATGTGGTACGGTATTACGTGTAACTGAAAATAAAAAGGGAATCGTTCAATAAGGAAACACACAAAAGGGTACTGTTAGAAAAAGCTCACATCAATAAAGGACAGGATTAATAAGGGTGATTCGAGCACGAGAGAGCATTAAAATAGAGATACGCAAATTCAAATTATGTGCTACTCCGTGTAAATAGTCAGGCATGGGTCTGTTTTTTTTCATAATCCCCAACAGCCAGTCTAATGCATGATCCTGCTCACTTGTATTTTATGTTTTATCACATGTTCTATTTCCAATGCGTTAGGCTGTTACTTTTTGTAGCATCAATAGATTCCCATATGCCAGGATGAGAGGCATCGGTGAGTTGTCCACAGTTCCTGTGGCACTCTTCATTTTAGCAAAATCTACAGAACAATTCGGGAAAATGGATTGCTGCGACCTTCTTATTTTCCCGTCATCCAACTCAGATGTTTTTTTAAAATAATTCGTTAACGATTTAATTTCTTTATCATTATCTGAGCAGAGCGATGGTCCCATTAGACTGTCAAACAGAGTTGCACGCTCCTTTGCTCGTGGCTTTATAGGAGTAAATCAAACAAACTCCTAACTGCAACCAACCAATTGAGTATAGACAACTAACCAATGTAGAACAATTCAAACTTATAAAAGCCTTTTGGAAATAAGTGAAAGACTGTTGAACAGAACAATTAAAGCATAAGATAGTCTGAACATCCAAAAAACTCAAAACTGTTCAACAGGTAGTTTATTCAAACTGTGAATATTTTTAATCAGTCTCTGAAATAAACCCCAAGGACTCAATTCTTAAAAATTTAACTAGTAAGCCAATGGAGCAGTATTGAAAATTTCCGCAATGATGGAATTTGAATGGCTCACAATAACAACAAAAGGTATTTATTTTCACTCAACACATGTAGCATTTATGCCGATGATCCGAGTAACTGAACACAAACCATTTAGAAAGGTGCAAAATCACAATTTTCCGATATTCGCTGTTACTTTTAAATTTATATATAGAAATGGATATTAAAAAACTTTTTAAACATTAAAAGACAAACCGGTTTATCCATGTAAGACAGATTATCTTTCAGTATGAAGCAAAAGTCTATAGACTTCAAAGTTGCTAACAAACCGGTTACGACAACTCCTTCGTTATTCAAAAGCAAAGCACCGGAGTGATAAAATGTAGCAAATGTACTGGAATTTTGTGTTACAGGAATTGTGTTGCTTTCACAGACTTTTGGAGAACTCTCCAAACTCCCATTTGAATTGGAAGAATCGATGGAATCTATTATGACTTGAAAAAACTCTCCTAGTTGCTATAAGAAATAAAAATGAAATTCCAATAAAACTACTGGATAACCACATAAAAGCAACTTAGGTTTTGTAAAGGATAAATCGAGGACCTTTTTGGCGCTAGCGAATTAGACTTTTGTATTGGAGTTACCAGCTGGAAAATTTATTACCGCAATATCTACAGATTGATAACGAGGATGTGAGGAGTAGATAATGACTCGGATTTCTGTCTGTATTTATGAGGTCCTTTTTACAGTCAAAATACCAGGATATCTAGGACTTAAGTGTCTAATATTTCACTTACCTCATCATGCATACTAGCTTGTAGTAATATAAATGGATTGCCCATAAAGCAAGAAAGTTAAATAAACGTTTGCGAAATTAGTTAGGAACCCTGCAACAAACCTGGTTGAAATATGCTCTGATTACACCAAGAAAAGATTTGTCAAAGGCAACATTGAGGTCTTGTGTATCGGGTACAAAAAAAGCTGAACGATGAAACTACAAAAGCATTAGATGGTATTCCGTATTGGCAACCGTATTTAAAAATTTAGGGTGTATCTTACAAACTAACTAGTCAAATTCGTATCCCTTTTTCGGTGATTAGTCATAACTAGCGTACTACGTGGTATGAGTGTGAATCAATTCAAGCTGCTACGGTAATGGTAAGATATATATATATAGGAAATATACTTCGAAAGAAACGAATAAAATCATGGGAATATATCACTGCTAACAGGTTTGTATCTCTAAAGCTTGACAGCACAGAGCCTCAATAAGAAACTGGACAAGCAATACGTAGGATACACCTAAGTTAGCTGGAAAACCCTGATTCCAAACCAATGGCCCACATTGGTTCAGAATCCTAGGACAGGAAATTTGCATTGAACTACACCCCACTATATTACCCTATTGTCTTGTAAATTGTAACTCAAAATTTTGACGAGTGTCATCCGGAGAAGAGTATCTGTTTAACTTTGGTTACCCAGGTAGTATCACGAACCAGACGAAACCATGATGATGATTACTAATGAAGAAAATGTTCATGTTAGCTCACACTATCCACACAACACTTGTTTACTTATCTGAACAAATAATTACTGAGATAAAGTGGTATCAAAATAGTAATACACTATACAAAAAACGGAGAGGATTCTTGAAGAGATAGACGGAGAGAATCAGATCAAGAAAACGACTAAATGAGCCAAAATAAATCACCCTTCATTGTCCCTGAAAGATAGCTAACATTTAGTGGCAGCACCATGTTAGTAATGAGGAGGTTCAGCAGTGTGTGTTCGGGCACAGTAACGACGACCGACTTGGTGTCACTGTTTTTTATTTGAACACAAACAGTTACAAGAGGGCACAAAATACATATACGCTATACAGTTATCATTGATTTGTGTGAGGGCTGTGATACTGCCCGCGTGTCCAAACTGCAACAGCTCGCCTTATCCCACGGATATCCGTCTCCGGCGGTAAGGTCCCAACAAGTACGGAGGTGACACGAAAACTCCTCACAAAAAGGTCGTGTCTGACCGGCCTCAAGCAGTTGTCCATTGGGCACTGCGGCCACACTTTCAGGTCAAAAAGACCACCGCTAACCCAATTTCCTTTTCAGGTACCTCTAGATAACCCTTCCAGGGTATGGGCAACCGAGAAGAGATAACCGCTTCCGTACCTCTACCATTTAAGATCACAGTATTCATAATCAATTTCCCTCTTCAATTCCTATTATTCCTCCTACATCGACTTTCAACCCTAAAGTTCCTCATCAAGAGTCACCATAACCAACGATTCTAGTGCTAGAAACACTGTCCCAGGTCTACTGAAACCTCGCTCCAAACTACACATTGGAGCCATCAAAGTACTCACTCTATGTCAAATCGACCAGCAGGTCTCCTTTACTAAAACCCTAGAATCAGGTACCATTTATGTATGCTGTGTCTCCGAAACACGCATACAGGATCCCAGTGTAGTTATTAACTTGACATCACCTCGGCGAAACGGAGAGCCAGCGAGATACACCCTCCGTGTATCTGGTGACTCAATGGCCAGTTCTCGTGGACTGGCAGGTGTAGGCATGGCACTAAGCATGAGGGCGGAACAAGCACTGCTAGAGTGGATCCCCGTCAACAGTCGTCTATGTGCTGTTCGGCTAAACGGCTCCGTAAGAACTCGGAAGGATAGCGACACACGTCGTTGCCTTTTCGTCGTTTTTGCCTACGCTCCCACTGACTGCAGCCCGGATGAAGTGAAAGATGAATTTCACAGAAAACTCTCTGGATTTCTTCAGAAAGCTAAACCCTCGGACATAGTGCGCGTAGCAAGTGACTTTGGTACCCGAATAAGTAGCTGAAACCAAACAGAAAGACATTTAGGTGGGTATTTAGTATCGCGGATCAGCGAACAGATAATGGTGACCGTCTGCTGCAACTTTGCTCAGGCAATCGTTTATTTTTAACAAGCCCGAATTTTAAGCATAAAGAGAGACATCGTCTAACAAAGCAATTCCCTGCACCAAACCAACGATGGACTCAAATAGACCATGTTGCCATCAGTCATCGTTGGACAGCCTCGATGTAAAACTGTCGCCCATTATGGAATACCTCTTAAGACCGCAAACATGCTCTAATACGAGCACGCATTTGCTTGCACCTCGCTGGACGCAAAAAAACCACATTAAGAAGACACATCGGAGTTAAACTCAGTGACGAGGAAGCCAGGAACAATTTAAATAGCACTTAGGTAGTTCTGAAAACGAGACTGATCCAGATGTACTATGGAAAGATACACGAACAGCTGTCAGTCGGTCAGCTACAACGTAGGACCAGGCACATATATGCATCGGCCCAAGTTGCCACACCTCATTAGCACAAGGTGAACACCAAATTCATAGGAGTCACTTCAATGGTAGTAATATGTCGAAGGAAGATTCATTATAAGGATATAGTACAGGAAAAAAGAATTAGTTGGTAGAACGAAAGATATGGAGCGATTTTAATCTCATAGTTTAAGGGAAGATAGAGAGTGAATACACAGATGCAATTGTGATCGATTCTGAGCCATGTCACCAAGAGTCTCCAACCATTGGTTACGATAGTCACGCGGACCCCAACCAAGTAGTCTGCATCCACCAACATGGCTCGGACTAAACGTTAGTGTCTTCAAGCACTGATGCCACGTTTTGGTTTGGCCGCCCCTAACTTCCTTCCAACCATCCCCAACACTAGTCAGCATTGTACGTCGTGGTAATTGGTGTTCAGGCATACGTAACACGTGGCCCAACCGTCTCAGTCGATCTAGATTTACAATCTCATCAACTGGTTTACCATCATTCCCTAATACCTTGCATCGAACCTCACTATTACTTAACCCGGTGATTCCAGCAGATGCCAGCTATATTTCTAAAACATCTGTGATCAAATACTAGTGACTTTCGAGTATCCTCTACCTTTGATGACCACGTTTCGCAGCCGTAAAGTAGAACATAACGAACTGCCGCGCAGTATACTCGTCCCTTAATTGATAGACGGATATCTCGCCTTCGTCATAGGTGGTGATGTAATTATTTGGCGAAAGCCAAGCGAGCTTTTCGAATCCGTGCTGAGATTTCGTCAGACACCAACCCATTAGGGCTGATCAAACTTCCAAGATAAGTGAAGTTGTCAACGCGTTCGACTACTTAACTCCCTATCCTTAGTTCAGGTGTTGACGCAGACCAGTCCTGAAGCAAAACCTTGCATTTAGAGGGAGAGAAGTGCATTCCAAACATTCTGGCATTGTTACTTAGTGCTACCAAAAGACTCTGCATTTTATCAGCGTCTTCACCAAACAGGACTATATCATCTGCGTATTGTAAGTCAATAAGTGGACCTCCTGGAAGAAGATCAATACCCGAGAATTCAGTAGACGAGAAAGTTATTTCCATCAGTAGATCTATGATGAAGTTAAACAAAAATGGAGAAAGTGGACAGCCTTGACGGACACCACTTGAGGTTGCAAAAGCAGATGACAGTTCGCCATAAGCTCTGACTCGACTGGTAGTGTTCGAGTAAAGAGCCTTCACAAGGTTTATGTACTTCTGAGGTATGCCTTTCAATGATAGACACTGCCACAGAATCTCACGGTCTACCGAGTCACATGCTGCTTTTAAGTCAAGAAAGACCACCATTGTCGGACGCCTATAAGTATGCCTATGTTCTAGAACCTGACGAATGGTGAATATGTGGTCGAAGCAGCCACGACCAGGTCTGAAGCCAGCTTGATTCTCTCGTGTTTGCAGTTCACGAGTCTTAGTTAGGCGTCTGATAATTATCGAGGCTAGTATTTTAGATATTATATTAGTTAAACTAATCCCTCTATGGATATCACAGGATGATTTTGACCCTTTCTTATATATTGGGACGATAAGTGATTGTGACCAGTTAGATGGGATAACGTCTAACTCCCAGATCTTAGCTAAAATATTAGTCAACCTAATCGCTAAAATTGGACCACCATCCTTAAAGACCTCTGGAGCCAGTCCATCTGGACCAGTTTTTCTTCCTCGTTTCAGATTAGCTATAGCTTTTTAAGTTTAAACCAGAGTTGGGGGACCCACTTCAGTGATCCATTCAAGCTGTTTGGGAATGATGGGTAGTTGTAGAGTAGCTGAAGGCCAACTGAACTGTTCTCTGAAATGTTCCACCCATCGTTTCGAACGTCTGAGATGAGAGTAGATGGAATTGCAGTCTTTTTACGAGATTGTCTCACTTCCTGTTTCTTCCATTAGCCCGAAAGGCTGTTTTGTGTTACCTATAGCCACTGCCTTTTCCATCTCTTTTGCTTTCGTTGCCCACCACTGCTCACGGTCGTTCCTTAGACTTTTGCTTAACCCAGATCTGATTTGTTTTCGCTCTTCATCGTGTTCAGAGCCTGATGGGATGAGTTTACAAAAATATATCAGTGCAATCGATGTTTCAGAAATCCACTGGTTATTCGTAACCCTGTGGTTTAAGTCGCTAATAGATGTCACTGCTGTTTCCACAGCTGCTTGTATGTCTTTCCAAGCAACATCTGGGTCAGCCTCGTCTTCAGAACTACCTAATTAAGAACTCAGTTGTTCCTGGAACCTACTTTTGGTTTTCTCGTTACTCAACTCAGTCCCAGTGGGTCTTTTTAATGTGGCTTTTTTGCGTCCTGTGACGCGCAAGCAGATGCGTGCCCGTATTAGGGCGTGGTCGGAGTCCAAGCAGGTACTCCAGAATGAGCAACAATCTTCTACCGACCCTCTCCAACGATGACTGATGGCAATATGGTCTATTTGAGTCCATCGTTGGTTTGGTGTAGGGGGTCGCCATGTTAGACGATGTCTCTCTTTATGTTTAAAATTTGTGTTTGCTAAAAATAAGCGATTGCCTGAGCAAAGTTGCAGCAAACGGTCACCATTATCTGTTCGCTGTGCCGGGATGCTAAAATATCCACCTAAATGCCTTTCTGTTTGGTTTAAGCTACCTATCTGAGCATTAAAGTCACCCCCTAAGAGTACTATGTCTGAGCGTTTAGCTTTCTGTAAAATTCATCTTTCACTTCATCCGGGCTGCAGTCAGTGGGAGCGTAGGCAAAAACGACGAAAAGGCAACGACGTGTGTCGCTATCCTTCCGAGTTCTTACGGAGCCGTTTAGCCGAACAGCACATAGACGACTGTTGACGGGGATCCACTCTAGCAGTGCTTGTTCCGCCCTCATGCTTAGTGCCATGCCTACACCTGCCAGTCCACGAGAACTGGCCATTGAGTCACCAGATACACGGAGGGTGTATCTCGCTGGCTCTCCGTTTCGCCGAGGTGATGTCAAGTTAATAACTACACTGGGATCCTGTATGCGTGTTTCGGAGACACAGCATACATAAATGGTACCTGATTCTAGGGTTTTAGTAAAGGAGACCTGCTGGTCGATTTGACATAGAGTGAGTACTTTGATGGCTCCAATGTGTAGTTTGGAGCGAGGTTTCAGTAGACCTGGGACAGTGTTTCTAGCACTAGAATCGTTGGTTATGGTGACACTTGAGGGGGAAGCCGAAAAAGGACGTTTATAGGTGAAAGTCGATGTAGGAGGAATAATAAGAAGTGAAGACGGAGGTTGATTATGAATACAGTGGTCTTGAGTGCTGTTAGAGGTATGAGGGCGGTTGTCACTTCCCGGTTGCCCACACCGTCGAAGGGTTTTTCTGGAGGTACCTGAAAAGGAAATTGGATTAGAGGTGGTCTTAGTGACCTGAGAGCATAATTTTTGTGTTAGCTCCGTACTTGTTGAGACCTTACCGCCGGAGACGGATATCCGTGAGACAAGGCGAGGTGTGCATTTTTAGGGTCAACCTTTTCTAACCCCATCCCTGCTTGTGGGAAAGCAGCATCGCTGTCATGCTGGTTGTCTGAAGGAAGCACTTTACTGCTGTCACACCTCTGTACAGTCAGCAGTACGACTTCGCCTTCGGACCTTGGGTTTGTTGCTTTTAGTCTTACCGCTCTTCAACCGACCTGTCTGACATGGTAGGACCTTGAGGAACGGTTGTTCCAGCCAGTATAGCTCGGTTGCTTCATCACGATAGGCAAGCCCGACCACCACGTCAAGGTAGCAACGAACAGCTGTGGAAACTGCAGTGACATCTATTAGCGACTTAAACCACAGGGTTACGAATAACCAGTGGATTTCTGAAACATCGATTGCACTGGTATATTTTTGTAAACTCATCCCATCAGGCTCTGAACACGATGAAGAGCGAAAACAAATCAGATCTGGGTTAAGCAAAAGTCTAAGGAACGACCGTGAGCAGTGGTGGGCAACGAAAGCAAAAGAGATGGAAAAGGCAGTGGCTATAGGTAACACAAAACAGCCTTTCGGGCTAATGGAAGAAACAGGAAGTGAGACAATCTCGTAAAAAGACTGCAATTCCATCTACTCTCATCTCAGACGTTCGAAACGATGGGTGGAACATTTCAGAGAACAGTTCAGTTGGCCTTCAGCTACTCTACAACTACCCATCATTCCCAAACAGCTTGAATGGATCACTGAAGTGGGTCCCCCAACTCTGGTTTAAACTTAAAAAGCTATAGCTAATCTGAAACGAGGAAGAAAAACTGGTCCAGATGGACTGGCTCCAGAGGTCTTTAAGGATGGTGGTCCAATTTTAGCGATTAGGTTGACTAATATTTTAGCTAAGATCTGGGAGTTAGACGTTATCCCATCTAACTGGTCACAATCACTTATCGTCCCAATATATAAGAAAGGGTCAAAATCATCCTGTGATATCCATAGAGGGATTAGTTTAACTAATATAATATCTAAAATACTAGCCTCGATAATTATCAGACGCCTAACTAAGACTCGTGAACTGCAAACACGAGAGAATCAAGCTGGCTTCAGACCTGGTCGTGGCTGCTTCGACCACATATTCACCATTCGTCAGGTTCTAGAACATAGGCATACTTATAGGCGTCCGACAATGGTGGTCTTTCTTGACTTAAAAGCAGCATGTGACTCGGTAGACCGTGAGATTCTGTGGCAGTGTCTATCATTGAAAGGCATACCTCAGAAGTACATAAACCTTGTGAAGGCTCTTTACTCGAACACTACCAGTCGAGTCAGAGCTTATGGCGAACTGTCATCTGCTTTTGCAACCTCAAGTGGTGTCCGTCAAGGCTGTCCACTTTCTCCATTTTTGTTTAACTTCATCATAGATCTACTGATGGAAATAACTTTCTCGTCTACTGAATTCTCGGGTATTGATCTTCTTCCAGGAGGTCCACTTATTGACTTACAATACGCAGATGATATAGTCCTGTTTGGTGAAGACGCTGATAAAATGCAGAGTCTTTTGGTAGCACTAAGTAACAATGCCAGAATGTTTGGAATGCACTTCTCTCCCTCTAAATGCAAGGTTTTGCTTCAGGACTGGTCTGCGTCAACACCTGAACTAAGGATAGGGAGTTAAGTAGTCGAACGCGTTGACAACTTCACTTATCTTGGAAGTCTGATCAGCCCTAATGGGTTGGTGTCTGACGAAATCTCAGCACGGATTCGAAAAGCTCGCTTGGCTTTTGCCAAATAATTACATCACCACCTATGACGAAGGCGAGATATCCGTCTATCAATTAAGGGACGAGTATACTGCGCGGCAGTTCGTTATGTTCTACTTTACGGCTGCGAAACGTGGTCATCAAAGGTAGAGGATACTCGAAAGTCACTAGTATTTGATCACAGATGTTTTAGAAATATAGCTGGCATCTGCTGGAATCACCGGGTTAAGTAATAGTGAGGTTCGATGCAAGGTATTAGGGAATGATGGTAAACCAGTTGATGAGATTGTAAATCTAGATCGACTGAGACGGTTGGGCCACGTGTTACGTATGCCTGAACACCAATTACCACGACGTACAATGCTGACTAGTGTTGGGGATGGTTGGAAGGAAGTTAGGGGCGGCCAAACCAAAACGTGGCATCAGTGCTTGAAGACACTAACGTTTAGTTCGAGCCATGTTGGTGGATGCAGACTACTTGGTTGGGGTCCGCGTGACTATCGTAACCAATGGTTGGAGACTCTTGGTGACATGGCTCAGAATCGATCACAATTGCATCTGTGTATTCACTCTCTATCTTCCCTTAAACTATGAGATTAAAATCGCTCCATATCTTTCGTTCTACCAACTAATTCTTTTTTCCTGTACTATATCCTTATAATGAATCTTCCTTCGACATATTACTACCATTGAAGTGACTCCTATGAATTTGGTGTTCACCTTGTGCTAATGAGGTGTGGCAACTTGGGCCGATGCATATATGTGCCTGGTCCTACGTTGTAGCTGACTCACTGATTCTCTTAACTGAGAGAATCCTTTCAGGCTGTTATCTAACTGAACAGTTTCTCCCATTATATACTACTGTTCACTTATTATTAATCTTTAATGTTTTTGACTTAACTCTCGTTCCTTATTTTATTTTTAGAAAGTCACAGTTTCTTGTTTATGTGATACGTACTTACTCTCGAGTTCATTTTTGCCATTTTGTTTTGAGGGAATAAATATCAGTAAAGGTACGCTATAAGCATTCAGAAAGATTAATAATGGTTATAAAAGACAAAATAAGGAGAACTATACCAATATATCAAACAGGAAGCTGAAAAGAATTTGAAAACGTACACATCTTTGGACTAGAAATTTCGGAATTGATGACGAATCGAACTTTGCAAAATTACCTACCAGAAGCGCTAAGAGTGAAGTATTTCACAAGTCTTCATAACCTGTAAGCAAACTTATTGACTGATACACCGTAATTATTATTTTACAGTAATAAACGAAGAATATAAAAACTTTTGTAAGGCTCTGCTGCAGACGAGACCTAACGTAATGCCCGAAGTCTTAAACACATGAAAACTCAAATTTGAGAAAAAATAACCGATGCTACTCTTTCAGAATAAGATTGTCATATAAAATAAGTTCAGGGGAAGCAAATCCGACTTGATAACATATTACATTTAAAACAGATCGAAAACTGCGGGAAATACCTTTCTCATTAAAGCGTGCCTTAACCAAACGCGAGAGCGACCTAGTCCAGTCCGTATTTCAGTCATCGTAGCAACAGTTTTACTTATAGAATCTGTGGTCTTTGACAATTTTTCTGCTTCTAATAATACGGGCCAAGGATTTGGATGTGACGAATTTTTCATAAAAATATTTGCAGCGGAAACGGCATGATTACGTGCTCTTCGGACGACAGTTGTCGCATCCTTCATTAATCCTTTCGATGAAGTTCTTTCATTGTTGTCGTCAAAAGAGTCAGGCATTTTGTAACCTCGGCGTAAACCATGACAGAGACAGTGCTCAACAACAGAAAGCAACCGCCAGACAATATTTAGAACCTCTTCACAATGAACAGTCCTAGATTCACCCCAGAAAATGTTTTCATCAAGAGAAACCTGATGTTGATCAAATGTAAGCTGAATTAGATCGTGTACAACAAGTTTGACGATAGCCAAGAGATTCGAGCGCTCATTCTCCATTTTCAAAAGCTTTGAAACAACTAAAAGTAAATGTTTACTTGAAATAATCTAGTCATGACGACCAAAAACGTTCATAAGTATAAACCATGAATTTTGAAGGGCTTCACTTGTATTATGATGTAGAAATTTACTAAATGTGTTCAATATTAATCGATATTACGCTCAAATTAGATCGATTTCCGTGAAATGATTGGATAAATTTTGGATTACCGAGTGTCACCATAATCACCAAATCAAAAGCTTCATAATTGTACCAGTTATTTATTCTTAAACCTTTATTTCGTGATATACTTCCATTTTATTGTTTTTGTTCAAAATGGCTAACTATACAAAGTATATAGGATAATTTACCTATATCAAAAATAAGTAATCAGTAAAACATCAAACAAAACCTTGAAAAATTTTAGGTTTCTTTCAAACATCTCTCACTACTTAGAATATAAACCCAAGAGAAGAGGCCCATCATCTATGTTAGAATCGGAGAAAGAATACGTAAACAGTTATACACGCGTCCCTGAATTTACACAACTCTTAAATATAGAAGTTCAAGTGACTTTGTTTTAAATTTCAGTCGCAGATGGGTAACGATATGGAGAGATTAACACATAACACCCTTTAATACCCACTTGTTTACTAACTTGGACAATCTACCTGCATCATTTGATTACTGATGATTAGCTACGTATTTGTCATGTTACAAATCACGTACAACTCTGACCAAGTCTCTGATTGTGTTCACTAGATCTTGAACTATACTTGCCATTTGAGGTAAAGTCTAAACCTCCGACTCACTGGTTGCAAAGTTTCTACCAACTACTGTGATATGCAGATCAAAAACTTTGCATTCAGACCACGAAATTTCTTGCCAAGTTTAAATTTATTACGATTCAGACTCATTTGCTAACCACTAAGTTTCAGAGCGAGCTTGAATGGATGGTAAACAAATTTCGGTGTAATTTTAAGTCTTAAAGATGCTAAAAGTTAAAATAATATTCCACAACTTCCAAAAGGGTTCTTTATGAAATTTAAGATTATTTAACATTCAGTGGTAAACCAGCCTTTTCGAGTTATTAAAACAACTAGAATCGATAGTTGGAGTGCATGAATCAGAGTACTGAGGAAATCTTAAAATTCAGAAGGGGTGTTCAGAATGCGACAAACGTAGAGTGACAAATAGTAACAGCCAAAATTATGGGTAAAATATTATCAGCAGCACCAACAGAAATAAGTAATTCTCATAATCTAACAGATGTACATATATCATAAGCACCTCATCTCCTATTCTAAAACCGCCTAATTTTCTTTTTTTGGTGCTGAATAACTGAAATGTACAAATTACTTACTATGGTTAATTACTCTCTAAAAGCGGACTTCTTTCCATATTGTCTACTTTTTATGGAGAATGTAACCTTACCAAAAAGAGCCGAAGAGCTAGGATGTTGTGTAATATTTACCAACCCTAATGTGGCAAATATATGACTTAAAAATAGCTTTAATAAGATTGACTTTACTTTTTATTGGTATTTCTGATGGTTGGTACAGTGTCAGCTTACATTAATGTATGTTCACTCAGTTATCTGTCCTTCAAAGGACAGATAACTGAGGTTAGATCTAACTTTGGTTTACTAGTTCATCCGTTCAATTAATTCAGACACACCAATAATTACGAGGTAATTCACTGACATGCCTCAAGAGAGCCCACCCATTTGAAGCTATGGCTATAGAATAAACAGTAGCTATACTATACTATACTGTGCTATACTATACTATATTATATTATACTATATTATATATAAATATATATATATATAATATGTATTACATATATGGTAACTATATAGCTACTGTTTATTCTAAGCCGTTGATAACGTCTGCCGGAATACGAGTATTAACTGAACAGCTGAGTGAAAATGAGATTCAGTAGCGTAGAAGTTATTTAACAACTTTCACAATCATATCAAATTACCAACTGTCACATACATCAGGCTTCGATGATTGGTTGCAAAGTAGTCTTTCGAATTACCTCTGAAAAACTCTAATACGACCTTTCAAATGGTTCCAACGGTTGTGGAAGTACTAGAACTAGCTTATGATTATCAATATTCCGTGTCAAACAGTAGTGGACTACCGATACGGATGACAAGGGGTATCGACAACCTCACAAATGTATCTTTGAACTCATTCATTTGTAGTGACTCACGTTTATCACGAGAACACGACTGGTTTAATAAAAACAATTATTATTATAACCAAGTGTACCAGTGACTGTTTTAACGTGCTTTTGTTTGACTGTGCTAATGACAGCTATTTTGTTCTTCCATTCTCTTACTTACACTTTGATTGTAACTTCGCGCGAATTCGGTTACGTTCTGTAACCAAGCTTGTATCCTGGCACGATCTCGGTATCCTTTCGATGCCACGAGATCGCCAGCAAATAAACCTCGACTTGGTCCATTAATTGCCTTCTGGTATTCGGCTTCTCGGGGATTTTATGGGGTCATTTGGAACGAGCTTCTTACGCCTTCTGATCTAATTGGCACGTGTTTCTTGGTAGCGGTGTTCATAGTTAATCTCAACTCGACGCCACGCTACAATTGGTAATCCCAATACGAATACAATTGGTAATACCAATTCGACAACAATTGGTGACCCGTATTTTGGAACACGCCTCAACTTCTGACCAAATCTTCCAAAGAAGCCAATTCGGTGAGTCTATGATTTATCTATCCACGTCTGTCGTATATTTTCATATTTTTTAATATATAATATACGCGACATGACGGATAACGATAAGAATAGTATTAATATAATAGACTCACACGTATGTGTATCGAATCCTTGTCACTTTTTATTCGCGTGATGATGAATTCCACGCTTTATTCGAGAAATGTTACCCTATTAACGATTCTCCTCGCTGACCCGGCTGCTTGGTACGGAATGCATACGCATAAGCATATCCGTCTACCACCCAGCACCAAATGGTTAAGTTGAACGGTTTCACTGCCAACTTAAAAGTGTTCTACGAGCACACGAAAACGGCAACTGGCATGAAACCTTACCGCTCGTTCTTTTAGGGGGGGGGGAGAACGAGCTTAAAGGCAGATATCCAATGTTCCGCCACTGAACTTGTATACGGCACGACATTGCGTCTGCCCGGAGAATTCTTCACACCACGGAGCAGACCTAATTTCGGTAAATCAGACTACGTCCATCGACTGTCTGCATTTATGCGAACGCTGTCTCCGGTGTCAACTCGAATACAACATCGACAGGTCGCTCTCCCTCGAGAGTTATCTACCTGTTCACATGTTTTTGTACGAGTAGATTCGGTACGCAAACCTTGGCAACAACCTTACGAAGGCCCTTTTCACGTGATCGCTCGTCACGAAAAGACCTTCAAGGTTGATCGATATGGACGCGTCGAGATCGTCAGCGTTGATCGTCTCAAACCAGCACACGTCGATGACAGTGCCCTATCTGGTAACCTGAGATTCAATGCTAGACCTATTAAACCTAGCGGGATCCTTAAATCTTCAGGTCCCACGCTAGATGCATCTGAGACCTCATTCTCACGTCCCGGTCAACAGCACGCGTCATCTGCACCGTCTACGGACGAGACGATAGTCTCACGTCCAGATCAGCAGACCACGCCGCCTCTGACCTCGGATGAGATTGCAGGCTCACGCGACGCGAACGAGACTGCCGTCTCACGTTCCGGTCGCCGAGTACGGTTACCCGTACGCTTCCGCGAATAGTCGCACAGTCAACAACCGATACGGTGTAGGATTATTCCTATACTACACGCACGCTACACTCTTCTTTTTTGATTTTCTTTTTGTTTCCTGAGCCCACGCCTTCGACCATCTCCGTTTGGTTCCGTCGACTTCAGTCAACTTTGGCGAAAGCTGGATTGGCCACCCATGCTCTTGTCAACGCACTCAGTCGATATATTGGTTTCGAACGCTTGGCACACGCTTGGTCACGAACTTGGTCGTAACGGTTGCTTCTGGTCTTTCGGCTCAACGTGGTTTCGTCCTACGTCTGCAGCGTTTCTGGTGCGCACCTCTACGAACGCCCTCTTCAGATTCTGGATACAAACCACTCTGGTGTAGCATGCCGACTCGAGCAATAAATACAACACATCGCTCCTGGTACCGTTCTCCGATAACGACCTTCGTTGGCAACTCGACGATCAACGATCGCTTTCCTGTTCGCCAATTCTTCCGTCCTACAATCGCTCGTCAGCCGACCAGTCCCACGATTCAAACCGCTATTTATCGAAAGTGTAAACCCTTTCTAGCGGGGGGCTCCTGTAGTGACTCACGTTTATCACGAGAACACGACTGGTTTAATAAAAACAATTATTATTATAACCAAGTGTACCAGTGACTGTTTTAACGTGCTTTTGTTTGACTGTGCTAATGACAGCTATTTTGTTCTTCCATTCTCTTACTTACACTTTGATTGTAACTTCGCGCGAATTCGGTTACGTTCTGTAACCAAGCTTGTATCCTGGCACGATCTCGGTATCCTTTCGATGCCACGAGATCGCCAGCAAATAAACCTCGACTTGGTCCATTAATTGCCTTCTGGTATTCGGCTTCTCGGGGATTTTATGGGGTCATTTGGAACGAGCTTCTTACGCCTTCTGATCTAATTGGCACGTGTTTCTTGGTAGCGGTGTTCATAGTTAATCTCAACTCGACGCCACGCTACAATTGGTAATCCCAATACGAATACAATTGGTAATACCAATTCGACAACAATTGGTGACCCGTATTTTGGAACACGCCTCAACTTCTGACCAAATCTTCCAAAGAAGCCAATTCGGTGAGTCTATGATTTATCTATCCACGTCTGTCGTATATTTTCATATTTTTTAATATATAATATACGCGACATGACGGATAACGATAAGAATAGTATTAATATAATAGACTCACACGTATGTGTATCGAATCCTTGTCACTTTTTATTCGCGTGATGATGAATTCCACGCT